CTCAGCACTTACCAGTACATGGGGTCGGTTGTACTGATACTACACTCTGCACTTCTTGTGTAAATTTCGGAGTTGGTCCCAGCGGCGTGCCATAGACTTGCTCGGATTTTAGCTACTCGGAGGAGACTTGAGGTATAACTGCATGACGTCCGCAGTTCTGAAGTCCCCGTCTATTTTTCTTTAGCTGTGTGTTTATTTTCAGACAGTTTTATTTTATTCAGACCTTTATTTGTATTATTCTAGAAGCTCGTGCACTTGTGACACCAATTCTGGGATGGTATTTAGACACCGTTGTTTTTATGGATTATTCATTACATTTCAGACTTTACTTCCACATTTGTTCTTTGATTATTAATAAATTTAAAAATGGTTTCAAAAATAGATAATATTATTTTAACGTTGGCTTGCCTAGCAAGTGAAATATTAGGCGCCATCACGGTCCGAATGTGGAAATTTTGGGTCGTGACAATTGGTATCAGAGTTTAATCCATTTTCAACTTATGTATGGAGCTTTGAATGCACATTTGTTAGTGCGAAAATTTCAGTATTGAAAGAGAGATGGGACATAGTTCAATGGAAGACCTGATATTCACGCGATCTTGTCATATTTTTTCACCAGAAACATCAGCACTCAAGATAACCTTAACTTGACGTTGATTCCAACAGTTAGACCTTTCTTTGATATATATTCTCTATTCCTAATTGCTGTTTTTCGGAAAATACTGGAAAGATTCAACACAAAAGATAACATGTTAGAATTAAACCTTGGAACTCTTGTTATCTCAGCAGAGCAACATATAACTAAAAAAGGGAGCGAAGCAACTAAAGATATATCACCTCAGGAAAACCATTTCGATATTGCAACCTGGAACACGCGATTAATAAGTCCCTCAATGAACTTTGTCACAACATCTGCAAATTATTACACTTCAGTATGTATAGAGAATAGATATTATTCTTTCAATAGATAACATAAGACCTGTAGGACCTATTATATAAGCATGACAGAACCATATATCATACACACAAATGTACATAAAACAAAATCGTTTTCACTCCTCAATACGAAAAAACTAAGAAAAAATAAAAGCGAATAAAAGAGCAATATTTATCGGCCTCCGAAGTACTGAACAAACGAACGTATAACAGACATTAACAAAGAGCAAAAAGTTTAAATAAATAAGATGAAACAAAATAAATTAACAAAAAAAAAATTAGTAATAGACATTCGCAAAGAAAAAGCTCGAAAAAGACAAAACTTTACAAAAACAAATAAAGTAATAGTAATGAATATGCAACTGAGAAATCAAGAAAAGATGTATTATTTCTTGCTTATCTTTGATTGTGTAGGAAGCACAAAATGAATGTTTTTTAAACTTTCTGAACACAACGTTAATCCTACGCCAATAATTTAATATTATTGAAGTAAAAAAAAATCTTCACCTTCTGAATATGCCTCTCATAAGAAATTGAATATCGGGAAAGTCGGTACAGAAATAAAAATGAATTGGACTATAAATTTTAATAACCAAAGCAGATAGATTTATATATAGTAAATTGCAGTTCTCCCACGAACGCCAATTAAAGATTAGATTGCATTCACTTGAATAGACGGAGCATCCAAAAGATTGAGGGAGTTCTTCTCCCTCATGCCTTACTTTCAAATCCCAAAAATATCCGATGGAAATTATAAGTCAGATATGATAAGGATGGAGAATCCGACAGATTGAGCGAAAAATGAGCTAAGATTTAGCTGAAAATTCATTTTTCAAACCCATAATGAGAAGTCCACCATTGTTCTTGTGTTTAGCTAGTAGAACCGAAAAGTAGGTAAGAAAAGAAGAACAGAGACGGTGGTTGAAAAGCTCAATAACATGTAAGCACCTTTATGGCTGAGAGAAATGATTCTTCTACCCTTGGTCGATCATTTACCCTTTTCTACGTAATAATATAATATAACCAGATGGGTATAGCCCGTGCTAGCATGGGCCCAACATTTACACTTTGAAGTGATTAGTTTTTTGCTATTTGGAATATTATCAGGATATAAAATATGTGAATACTGCAATTGAAGAAAATGCAATTGAATGCAAGCACTAATTTTAGCATTTTAAGCTTTGATATTACAAATGATTAGATCCTATTATTAGCTGAGTATATCGACTCCCGTATTGATCTTCCTGTAATAAGTTAATCGCAGGGATGAAATAAAACAAAATGTAACAGCTAAAAATATACACACGTCTTAGGAAATTATTCCTTCTTATCACAACAAAAGCTGGCATAATAAAATAAATGATTAGATACTTAGGCATTTGTCAAGTCTAATATAGCTCGCTTTAGTTGAGTAACCTGAATACGTCTGCGTAATCTTAGCATCTATAGGATCTCTATGGAATATTTTCTACATAGAAAAGTCGATCAAAGTCTTAATCCAAGCAAAGTTTCTGTAAAACAACTTTGCTTTTTTCACTAGTATACCTTGTCTTCTAAATATATTCCAGATACACAAAATGAAGTATTACAAAAATACCTTTAGTAACACAATGTTGAATGACATATCGCACCTTTTTGCATTGGTTAGTAAACAGGACACTGAGGATCGCGTGATAGGAAAGAAATTCAGTAAGAATTACAAATAAAATGGCAGCCAAACTTAATTTGACCAATCCATGTATAAATAAGAACTGTTCAAAGTTCTTCACTATACACAATGTCCTGAAATCTCTGTAATGGTACAAGGTACTTGATGAAAGACTGTATGAGATGAAGAAAAAGAAGGTATACGAAGCTTACCATGATACTTTTACTGGAAATTGTCCATTTATCATGAACAGTCCTTCTCTCTGAGTCAGGATCATTAACCTTACCTACCACAGTAAGTGCAATAAGATAAATCTCCAGATAAAATACATCATAGTCTAAAGTATTCCACTAAATAACAAAACATTGACGTACCTTCTTGGTCATCTCAGAAAGCAGATAATCAAAGCAAGACTTGTAATATCTCAGAGCCTTGAATAGCAAAGTCCACATGTTGTTAGGCTACACATTTAAGTCTTAAATTCACAGGTTTCTGTTCAACCCACTGTCGATCTGATCTGAATAAACATACAAAAAATATTGTCACCCCTCAATTATGCTGAAATAGTTTACATAATAAAGAAAAACAAGCACAATTGCCTCTTATTACTGAGAATGCTTATGCTTCATGGATATCTTTATATTTGTAAGTAGTTTTATCCAGCGCAAGAAAACCTCTAGTGATATCCTGGAAGTTGTTTTTTATTTTGAATTATTTGTGATTTTGTTTTGGTGGCTTTTTTCCTATTCTTCCTTTGTTTGTTCTTTAAAAATTCATCCTCCTACTTAAGATATTGCAAGCAAAAAAAAAATTCTCAGTTTCTTTTTGCCCCCAAATACGCAGTAAAGGTGAAAATCAATAATCAAGTGTTTTAAAAGTAATGAATAATAGAATAGATGAAACTCACAAGTCATAACTTCTAAAACACCTTAAAAGAAAAGGAATTAGCAAGATTTCTATCTCCATTTTAACATTAAACTTTAGAATTTAAGACTTCTTTAGATCTGAACAATAACAAAAAGAAAACACCCATTAAGTTTTTTAACAATAAACTTAAACTTATGGATACATCATGGTTAATACACATATAATATCCAAGAAAATAATCATTTGGTGCATGCAACCAAGCATAGTCATTAGCAACTTCATTCGCTTATTCAATACTCTATTTTACAAGTCAAACAGAAATAGCAATTCTTTTCCTCTTTCATTTGGATACAAAGTTAGACTTTGACAACTTCTAGTACTATATGAACGACTCCACAATTCTACTACATGTCGTCACACACAGCTAAACACATAGTAAAATTGTATACGATCGAGCACAGAAACCTATGATCTTGCATGTGACAACTAAAATCAGAAACCAGATAAACATTGCGCTCTTAAAAACTGAATCTTCCACTACCCGAGCTCCAACAATACTTTTCCTTCACGAAATCAATCCACATAAACTTTCATTATTTATACTGAAAAAAAAGAGAGGAATTTTCACTTTTTTTTTTACTATGGTAACAATAATAAAGAGGAATTTACACTCTTTAAGAATTGAATTCCCCCCAATATTTGAGCTGCCAAATTATTTAACCTAAGTGGAGCCACATAGAATTATAAGAAAAAATACTCATAAAATAAAATAAAATAGGATTGAACTCATACTGAGAATTTTTTCGAGAACGACATCTTTTCCAACACTTTGAGCTACCGGAAAATAATCTCATTTTACATAAATGAACCATATAAAATAATAACAACAAATAGTTACCAAAAATATAAAATAATAATAACCGAAACAATGAAATGAACAAAGAAGAAGAAAAAAAGGCAATCTTACCGGCTATACGGGTGAATCTAGCCGAAGGAAGGACACATAATCTGGAGAATAAATCTGCAGCTATTAAAAAAAGGATTGCAGTTATGTGAGGATGACAATTGAAAAACCTTCACATCAGTAGTGAAATTGGGGAGAGAATTAGATAGAATAGTGAGGACATCAGACATAAATTTCAGTTGTGAAATTCGGGAGTCAGGAAGAAATTTGGGCAAAAATGAGATAAAAGCTAACCTCAAATGTGTAGAGATTTCAAAAAGCCATTCTTTAAAAGAACTGATTGTTCTCGAAAGAAGCACTGGAAGAAGAAGGCATTTTTATAATTGAGCAAAATGTCAAATTTGCCCTTGGTCGACCACACTTAGCTCTTCTATATAATAGAAAAAAATATATAATATAATATAACTAGTTTCTCGGTGTCACGACCCAAAATTCCACCTCAGGCGTCGTGATGGTACCTAGTCTCTAATATTAGGTAAGCCGATTTAAATTATATTTTTGAAGCCATTTTTTTAATTAAATAAGTAATCAAAACTAACAGCGGAACAAATATGAATATACAACCTCTCAAGACTGGTAGTATTGAGTCACGAACTCTAACTGAATACATGGAATGATCATGAGGACTGAATATACAATATTGTTTGATTAAAAATTAACAATACAATGAAATGAAAAGACTCCAAGGAACTGCGACGACCAAGCAGCTCTACCTTGAATCCTTACGATCCCGCTTTAACTCTGCTCAAGTCCGATATCCCCAATATATGGCTCTGCACAAAAATGTGCAGAAGTATAGTATGAGTACACCACGGTCGGTACTCAATAAGTATGAAGACTAACCTCAGTGGAGTAGAGACGGGGTACAGTCAAGACACTCACTAGTCTAATAGCTTGTGCAATATAATATATAACATAATAGAAAATAAATAACAATAAGGGCAACATAAAACAGCCAGTGATATGCACAACAGACAACAAGAACACCATTAGTATCGCTCAATAATTAATAAATATAATTACACCTAATTAAATCAAGTCCTTCAAATAAATGTCTTTCACATATAATTCTTCCAAATAACTCTCCTTCAAATAATTTTCTCAAATAATTATCTTTCAAATACAATTCTTTCAATAAATCTCTTCAAACATAATTTTCTCAAATAAATATCTTGAATATAATTCTTTCAATTAAAAGTCACCATGTGACATCTCATTTCATAATCATAAGAATACGGGTCTTAGCCCATTTTTATATTTTTCGTAAATACGGGTCTCAACCCATTTTTTATATTTTCACGGCACTTCGTGCTCTTAGTTAAATTATATTATTTTCCCGGCACCTCGTGCCCTCATTTCATATCACAACTGCATGGACAATTCACGTGCCAAATATCATTATCATTTACTTGCGGCACCTCGTGCCCACATTTCATTTTATAATCTGCTTGGCAATAGCCACATGCTCCTAATTTCAACATAAATCAGATTGTTATCAATTTACCAATAACAAGACAAATTGCATAAGGTATAAAAATAAATACAAGAAAATCACATGAAAATCACCAACATCACAACTCCACATCATCACATATCGTCCCTGACAATAGCCACCCTTATCTCTCCTATAGCCACCCTTATCCCTCCGCCCTGACAATATCAATAGCCACCCTTATCGCTCCTATAGCCACCCTTATCGCTCCACCCAGACAATATTCTAACAAACATAACAACAGTGAAATGCCACCCTTATACCCATATAATATCAATGGTAAAATGCCACCCTTATCTCCTCAAAATAAAAACTCACACAATACAACAATTTATACGGGATATTATCACGGCAACATAACAAAAATCAATTCTTATCATAATTTGCCAATGGCCACAACCAAAATTTCAAAGATACAACCAAATCAATTAATTTCACAATAAATAGCCGAAAGCTCCACACAATGTGTATAACACCCCAAAAACAATCAACAGAGATAGAAATTACTCAGCATAAAACAAAGCCTTCATTAACCCAAATTTAGATAATTATATTAACACTTCTTTTTAAACTTGCTTAATTAATTATTTGCATAGGAAAAATTCATATTGAAATTTAATTTTCAAAAAATATTAAATCAACAATACTTATGAAATTACATGAATATTTCAAGTAACAATCACATCAAATTGTCATATAAAAATAAATTCAACAACAAGGATTTAGGCATGGCAAACAGATGATTTAATAAATGTCCACAATTATCCAATTTACTACACAATAGTTCCTAAGACTTTGATCCAATAAAATTTGCACATATAAGCCTGAGTACGCACTTGTCACCTCGCGTATAAGATTTTTCACATTTTACAAATGACACATAAGACTCGATGCCTAAAGGTTAACTCGAGGTTAAGCAAGACACTTATCTTTTTGAAGTTAGGCCGATATTCCAAAATAGCCCTCTTGCTTGAAATGACCTCCGGACAGCTCAAATCTATCCAAATTAATTGTATAACTTCATTAAAACTCATCGGAAATAATTCCGGATAATAATATGTTGACTTAAAAATTTATTCCAAAAAGTCAACAAAAGTCAATGCGGGGCCCGACCCTTCAGAACTTGACATAATTTTCATGAAATCCGAACACTCATTCCAATACGAGTTCAACCATACCAATTTTATCAAATTCCAATAACAACTCGACTTTCAAATTTTAAATTTAAACCGAGAGGTTTTTTCTAAATTTTTTAACTTAATTTACCCATTAATTGATGGATTCAAAGACAAAATTATGGAAATTAATTAAAACTGGATAAGAATCACTTACCCCAAACACCCACGCAAGAATCTCTCCAAAAATCGCCTTCTACCGAGCTCCCAATTTATTTTTGTGTTAGGAACTCAAACCCCCATTTTGGGACTTTTAATTTCGCCCAGATAGGCCTTCTTCGCGTTCGCCACCATTGCTTCGCGTTCGCGAAGCATAACCTCGACTGCCAGATTTAACCCTTCGCGAACGCGAAGGTTTACTATCCCCTCGTTCGCGAACGCGACGCACATCACGCAAACGCGAAGGCCAAACGCATATGGTCCCCAGCTGCTTCCTTTTCTTCTTCGCGAACGCGTAACATCTCTCGCGTTCGCGATGCACACCCTGTCCACCCTTCGCGAATGCGAAGAGCAAATATTGCCAGCTTCTCAGTTCCTCTTCGCGAACGCGATCACTCGTACGCGAAGAAGACTTGCCCCAACTCTACGCAAATGCGGACTAATATTCGCGAACGCGATAAAGAAAATTCTACTGCCATCCAAATACACTATGCGTTCGCGATCCTTGCCTCGCGAACGCGATGAAGGATTGAGGCACCAGATACCAGCAGAATACATCAGTGGAAAATGAAAGGAAAATGGTCCGAAATCAATCCGAAACCCGCCCGAGCCCCTCGGGACCTCAACCAAACCTACCAACAAGTCTTAATATATCATACGAACTTAGTCGAATTCTCAAATCACATCAAACAACATCAAAACGACGAATCGCACTTCAAATCAAAATCTATGAACTTTAAACTATCAAATTCTATATCTTGTGCCGAAACACATCAAATCAATCCGGAATGACTTTAAATTTTGCACACAAGTCATGATTGACATAACGAAACTATTCAAATTTCCAGAATCGAATTCCGACCCCGATATCAAAAATTTAACCCCCCCGATCAAACTTCCCAAAAATTCATCTTTCGCCATTTCAAGCCAAATTCCTCTACAGACCTCCGAATAATTTTTCGGACACGCTCCTAAGTCCATAATTACCATACGGAGCTATTGACATTATCAAAATTCTATTCCGGAGTCGTTTGCTCAAAAGTCAACTCTCCGGTCAACTATTTCCATTTAAGCTTATAAATAAGGATTGTTCTTTTCCTTAAATTTTGAATCTTCAGTAAATCAAACCCGACCATACCCACGGGTCATAATACATATCGCGAAGTTGCTTGAGACCTTAAGTCACTGAACGGGACGTTAATTCTTAAAATGACAAGTCATGTCGTTATACTCGGTAGGTGCATTGCACGTGTATACCGAGTCATATTGTATACGATTTTATAAAATAATTCAATATAATCAAAATAAAGATTTCAATAAATAATCATACACAAATGAATAAAGTGCAAGTTTCTATAAATGATTAATGTTGATCGTTGTATGATGACTTATTTGTTGTAGTCAAGATGATTGGATATCATCTAAATCTATGAAGATGAACAATTAAGTTTTAATTAGGTACGTGTGTTTTTTCTTACTTATTTTGATTTTATAAGGTACGCGTATCTCAACTGATATTTCCTTATAGATGATATTCTTAATGTAATTTGCTTTCATCGGTTTCGATTAATTTCTTTCATGATTAAGACTCTTGTTGGTCGATATTAATATCTCTCTTGAAAGTGTAACATAAAATTGGCACATGTAGGCGGAGCCAAGATTTGAAGCTTATGGGTTCAGGATCTATTTTTTTAAGTTATTGGTTTCTAACTTAATAATATGCGCAAATTTAATAAATTTCTTAAAACAAATATAATGTTTGGATCAAACCTACTGGGTTCGGCAGAACCCGAAGCCGAAGGGCTAGCTCCGCCGGGCTAGCTCTGCCCCTTCATGTAAAGAAATATGTATATCCCCAAGTAAGTTATTTAGAGACTTTAAATTCGTAGATAAGTTACCTAGGGATTACAGATAACGATCATTTTTTATAAATCTTCTTAGATAAGTTACCTAGGGATTACAGATCGGTAAGGTTAATTATCTTTATAGATAAAGTTATTGCATTCACATGTTTCGTTAGTTCTTCTAAACCTCCGATATGTGTTACACAATTTTTTTCGTACGTCACCCAACTTTTTTACTCTATCTCTATTTTAGTGTCGTTTATCTTGCAATTGAGTATAGTTCAAAAATTGAAAGAACAACCTAGGGTCTAATAATCTCATCAACTTTTCATTATAGCAATTGTTGATTGCTCATGTTTATAAAGGTCTTCATCGTATTAAAATATATCTGACATAGTTACCATATCAGTCTAAGAACATTTTACATTATAAAGTAAATGAACCAAAATACAATTTAGCATTTTCCTCGCCCTTCTTTGACTTTCTTTTTAGGATTTTTTGTTTGTGTCAAGCTTTTACGCGAAATTCGCTTATTACCGGTTGTTCTACAAATAAACAAACAAACGTAAGATCACTTGATATAATACCAAAATATTGATAAAATATTAAAACTTACCTTGTGGCTTCTCCAATATAAGTTCATCATCACCAATCATGTGCGAACACTGAACATCTTGTATAGGATAAATTACTTTTGCTTTTTCTGCAAAAATTCTCGAATTAGAAATCATGTTATTGTAGTTTCTCTCTACACACTTCGAGAATTTAAAATTATTTAAACCTCAACTGAGAAAATTGGTCATTGTTTGCCACCTTCTGCAATAGAAACTTGACTCAGCGGAGCAACAAAAATCTCCTCAATCTCTCACCTAAAAGAGAGTAAAATAAAACTTGATACATAAAAAGAGAAAATATCTTCTGATTGGAAACTTTCCTTGTGCAATAGATATTAACCTATTGACTTAGCATCCAAACCAGTTAGCCAGTTACCAAAAGTAAAAAATGACAAATATCGAACCTAGATATATCAGTCAGTTACCATAACATAACAATGGTACTCCATAGTTTGTATTTTTAATGTAAATAGTATAATTATTAAAAACTTAATAAAGCTACTATATATCTTAGAAAAGTAACAATAAGTGTATAAATGCTAATGGCAGTAACATTTTATCTACGTTTTTATTCATGAACTTTAAAGATAAAAAGGTTGAGAAAGTGATCACTACCGTTAACATAGAGTTAATATGCATATTTAACTTTGGAGATATAAGAACGGATTGCAGGGCATTTGTATATCAAGGATTATACATATTATTATGCATTTATACTCGTGGCATTTGTGTTAGAAGAAGAAGTTAGTTACGATTTTGAATGAACACAACTTTTAGGAAAAGACATATCACATAGTTTTCTTCTCGTCCCGCTCTATTTAATAAACATTAATTATTAGATAATATTTATATAATTAAAAGTAGGGTATTTAAGTCATTTAAAAGAATATTTTTGTAATTTAACGTTTTGGTTTTTGGGGTTCCTACAAATAACATTTAATTTTTCACACAAAAAAACTTCCACACATCATATATCGGTTGAATAAACTTTCACACAAAAAAATATTTAATTAAATACTTATTAAAAAGACATAAATTTTTTAAAATGACACTTCAAATCAAATTAGTTTTCTTTTTCTTAACAAATACTATTGTTAACAAATATAGAATTATATATATTTATATTTAAGGATTTTTATAAATAGGATATTTATGGTCAAAAGCATACCTGTTTAGTTCTCAAAACGAAAAGGAAGAACATTGTAGAAAAGTATGGATAAAGGAGGAAAAAGTGTAAAATGGAATGCATTAAGAGGTAACTAAAGATAATCATTAACAGTGGTAGGTTATAATTAAAGATGTACTAATAGTATCATTTTTTTTATGTACGTTGTCAATACATAGTACAAAAATCTTAGTTAAAATAGGATCCGAAGGAAAGATAGTTAAAATAGGTCTTAGTTACCGAGTTTGATGACAATTGACGGAGACCCAATATTAAATACGGCGAAGGGCAAATATATCCTTGTACTTTTGAAAATGGTTTAAAAATATCCCTCGTTATACTATTAGGCTATATATACCCTTCCCGTCATACTTTGGAATAAATATATCCTTATTTTGGACGGAGTGCCACGTGTCAGCACCAGATGAAAACGACTCATTTCTTTTTTCTTACCCGATCCGTTTTAAAAAACTCACCACCCGACCCATTTTAAAATTCAATTTTTTTAAAGCATATATTTTGTAAAAACTGAATTTTTCTTTTGTAAAAACTGAAAAAAAAAAATTGTAAAATATATATTTTTAAGTCTTTTCAGTTTTTTTAAAGTATTATTTTTGTAAAACCTGAAAATAAATATATATTTTTTAAAATTCTTTAAAAACTAAAAAATATATATTCCGTAAAAACTGGAAAATAAAAGGATTTTGTAAAATATATATTTTTAAGTCTTTTTAGTTTTTTTAAAGTATTCTTTTTGTAAAAACTAGAAAAAAATATTTTTCTTAAAAGCTGGAAAAAAAACTCTCCTAAAACAGTGGACTACATATGCATTAGTTTTAAAAAAATAAAAATATTATACAATTTTTATTTTTCTTTTCAGTTTTTACAAAACTAATACTTTAAAAAACTGAAAAAACTGAAAAATATATATTTTGAAAATTCCTTTTTTTTTTCAGTTTTTACAGAATATATATTTTTTAGTTTTTAAAGCATTTTTTAAAAAAATATTTTTTTTCCAGTTTTTACAAAAAACATACTTTAAAAAAACTGAAAAGACTTAAAAATATATATTTTGCAAATTCTTTTTTTTTTCCAGTTTTTACAAAATAAAATTTCAGTTTTTACAAAATAAAATTTCAGTTTTTACAAAATAAAATTTCAGTTTTTACAAAATAAAATTTCAGTTTTTACAAAATAAAATTTCAGTTTTTACAAAACTAATACTTTAAAAAACTGAAAAAACTGAAAAATATATATTTTGCAAATTCTTTTTTTTTTCCAGTTTTTACAAAAAACATACTTTAAAAAAACTGAAAAGACTTAAAAATATATATTTTGCAAATTCTTTTTTTTTTCCAGTTTTTACAAAATAAAATTTCAGTTTTTACAAAATATATGCTTTAAAAAAATTAAATTATAAAACGGGTCGGGTAGTGGGTTTTTTTAAAACGGATCGGGTAAAAAAAAAAAATTATCGTTTTCATCTGGTGCTGACATGTGGCACTCCTTCCAAAATAAGGGTATATTTGTTTCAAAGTATGACGAGAAGGGTATATATAGCCCAATAGTATAACGAAGGATATTCTTAGACCATTTTCAAAAGTATAGGGGTATATTTGGCCCTTTGCCGTATTAAATAAGATACGGGACTTGAGCGGTGTCACATGGGAAGAGAAGCAGAGTCGAGGGAGGTGGGTAAAGGCCGAGTCTTGTGCTACATAACATGCATGCCTAAGCCAACAATAGCAATGGCTGAATACTATAGAAAATAGGAATGGTTACTCACATTAGTAATATATAAAATCTGAAGGGTTACACCCCTTCAAATATATTTAATATTTTTATTTATTTATTTAAATAAGTAAAGAATTTTAGATTAATAAGAGGGGTAATTTGGTAATTTAACTTTTTAGTTATGGGCTTCCCACTTTTAATATAATATAAATATAGATAGATAAATAGATAGAATATAATAGAATAGAATAGAAAAAATAGAAATCAAACATATTTGCAGGATCTTCAAATTAATTTGGATTATAGAATTTTAAAAACTACATGATTCCTACGTTGGGTTATCAATTTGAAGAAACTTACCATATTAGGAAGAAAACTACTCCCAATATGAATTGACAATTATTATTTTTAATTTTCGATTTTTTATTTTAAAATTTTAAAATAATTTTGAAACTCCAACTTTTTCGGAGCTTTATCTTAAAAATTTACACGTGTCATCTTATAATTATGCCACTTGGCATTATATAATTGTTTTGCTTCTCTTTTTCTATTTATAGAAGAAGATTAGTTTGTGTGTCATATCACGTGTTCCACTATGTATTTATTTTGTGCTGTCCCAAAATTGAGTTCAATTTCTCAAAGAAAAACTTATTGCTCGCCGTTAAACTTTTTAAACCAAAATTTTGTACAGTAAATTGGGTTGGATACCAGATTGGGCTTTGCTTAGTGGACGACCAGATTTTTAGAAATTGAAAGTATCTTTAACAAGAATAGGCAAACCCCATGCCCAGACAACCTTAGGATGAATGAACAAAAGGGTCATTAAAAATATCCAGAATCAGAAAGAACGGGTATTGGTGATAAAGTCCAATAAGGCTTTCAACATGAGCACTTGCTCATAACTACCAGCTCGTACTGAGGGAACAAGTAATTAGTAATGTATAAGTTGCACATCGACAATGCATCGAGATCCCTGTAAGAACGTTTTGGTTCACCTCCTGTGGTGATGACCACAAGTCCACAACACTTGCTCCGTAGTTATTCATATGCGGACAAATGACATGATGTAGCAACTTAAATAGCACATTGCGAATGCTGCTAAATCGATGGTAAAGAACGCGCTCCACTTCACTGGAGAACAACTAGCATTCAGCAGCAGGAGCACTTAGCTGCTAGTTTCAATCACTAGCAGTCTCAGGCCTGGCAACACCCTCAGTTCTTTGGGTCTCAATTTCACAAACCGTATACTCTGTTCAATGAAAAATAAAATAAATTTTCTAGAAAATGTTTTCTTAAGAAAAAACAGTAACGCTGAGGCAGCTTCGGGCATGAGGATTTGCATGCAATAGATATTTATCTAAAGGTTTGCAAGTTACAATATTGAGTAATAGATCATTTCATTCATGAGGAATTGATGAAACCCCTTTCGCTTAATTCAAATGTTTTACTTCTATCCAACCTTTTACTATTTTGATAGTCCAACCCACTTTATCTTGGATATGAAATTAGGTCAGCATTCTTGCTGTTGGCAATGGCTTCAATCTTATACATTTCAAAGTATTGTGAGTGCAGTGAGAACCATTCTATGCACAAGGCCAATGAGCAGAACACAGAAAGGGCATTCCAGTTCTCTCTCTTTAACACGGTTTGCTGAAGTCAAAATGTAACCCTCTCGCTTGGATCAGGATTAACTGTTCTTAACCAAAGTCATTGAAGCGAAGGCTGCAGTTCATTCTTCTGCATTAACGTGCAGCACTGCTTTTCTATAGTGTATCCTACTAGACAATCAGGTTCAGGGAAAATGTGTCGGCTGTGAATTTTCATCAAGCAAAACTTGTACGGATGAAGCTTCAGATAATAGCATAATCATAATCATGAAGGGTTGATAAAGAGATATTGAAGCAGCGGAGCGACTACTCCCACACTTAAACTGTTTCCTAGCATTGCATAACTGCAGCAGAAAACCAAAAGGCATATCTTAGCAAGCAATTTTTTTATGAAACCCAGAAAAAAATTGCTGAAATCTTGTGAAGTAAAAAGCCTGGAAGAACTCCTAGCCCTCCTCGCTGATTCTTGTCAGGATAGCATTTAAGCTAATTAAAGTGACGAGTCTAATTTCACAAGGCAATCTCCGGCAATTTGGTGTGGTATTGCCATGTTTACTTGTTTGTTCATTTAATTGTTCACTTCTGAGAATATGGAGTTTTAAATAAGGTCTGCATGCCTTCTATACCGATTCAAATAATTAAATGATCAGAATCATCATATACTCCGTCTTCTTCATGTTATATGGCACTCATTCGGTTTTAGCATGTTCCAAAATGATTGACATGTTCTATATTTGAAAACTCTTTAACATTAAATGATATGCTCTTATAGCCATAAAAATGCCATGGCATGTCTAAGACCACAAGTTTTAAGAGTAATTTTATACATAAAAAAAGTTTTTCTTCTTTCTTAAACACGGTGCCCAGGAAAAACCCGCCACATAAAATGGAGCGGAGGGATTACACTGTTTGTAGCAGGGCAGGGACATGGAAATTTTTCTAAAATTTCAGTCCAACCACAATGTCCCTATGGCCTATGCAATATCAGCTTCTATAAATAACAAACAACAACTATACACTAACAATTGAACTATAAAATCACAAGAGTTAAAGAAAAAAAATGATTCATTACTATTGAAGTATGAGTACTGGGAAAAAAGACATACCGTTGACGAAGACTGATATGTTGTGGAAACTGGAAGTCTTCCGGAAAAGAATGCAAATTTGCAACCTACAATATCAAGAGGCATGAGATGTCTTGAATCTATATTGCTTTATTTCCCAAAAGAAAGCTAACAAGTAAGAAGAGAAGTAGTTCATGAACTGAAGAGAATGAATACCTCCCTAGGTGTGAAGTATCTTAGACACAGATCCTGCAGTGAAGGTGTTCTTTTCTCTGTCTTTTCCTGGATTTATGAAATGGTACCCCATGAAATCACTGGAGAGAAGTGCTTTTAAAAGCGAAAAGCGCAAAAAATGACAGCGTTGATGAGGCTTGAAGCGAAAAGCATTGAAGTGAAGCATCCAAGTTACGAAAAATTTAAAACTACTAAATACATATGAGTTTAGTACTGTAATAACCAAATTGCAATTAAACTAACCAATTTCAGCCTCCAAAATACAATAATGCCGCCACAAATCCAAAGATCCTCAAAGTTGAGATTCGACAAACCGCCTGCTTCTTATTTGAAAGAGGGAGATGTGAATGATGCATTATTTTGAACCCCACAAATGCCACCTTGGCAAGCAGTGACCATCCTTACACAAGTATTACAAGTTGTATTTAACATAATGTAAAATTTCTGTCTCTTACAGTCTTCATTCCAATTTCATTGACTGCTAGAACATCCTTGGATGCTAAAACTGCTCCTAATAGTGTAATGTCTGACATCTACAACAAATTTATTGTAGAGAGAGAGAGAGGGAAGAGAGATAAACCTCCACAACTTGCAGTTAAAAAGAACCTATGTGATCACTGTTAACAGGATGTACATATGTCTCATAGAAACAACACGCTCAAGTAGGTGTTTTCAATTTATGAAAATACAGAAGGAGGCATAAAAGAGAAGGAATAGATCTCTCGTAAAATTATAAAGAATGTGGAACTACTTAGGGGTTGTTTGGTTCAAAGATCAGTTTAGGAATAAGTAGTGTAGGAATAAGTTATCCAGGGATTATAGTGCAGAGATATTTCTTGTTGAATTTTTAATCCAAGTCTGCTAATACCCATATTGTTATTCCACATCCTATCCGACATAAAATAATACATAATTTCCCGCATAACTTATACAAGTATAATTTATGAGGAAAAACAAACTAGTAATCAAACGATGTACAAAACAATGCTGAGTTTTATATGGATTAATTCTCCATAATAACCACCCAAACGAGCATTTATTGTAATGGGCTACGGAAATGAGCAGTAATCAATATATCCTCCATGATACGCGGAATCATAGTTGCATGTATGACATCTTATGTTCCTTAGAATTACCACAAACTTGCATTCAGTTATTCAATGTCCTTCTCCATTTCTATGAATGCCTAAACAAGAAATATCAAGGTAATCCCATAAAGTAGCAAAAGAAGAAATAAGATTATAAACCACTTTTCAGAAGCTACAGGGATTCTTTCTTAATTGTTATATTATATTATAAAGATAAGAGAAAAAAGTAAACATATTCAAGGAGAAAAGTGAACACCATGACATACTTTAAAGCTTTACCTGGACAGTTGCCAGCAGGGAGCCAGTACCCTTCACATATCTGTAATAGCTTTTTGTAAAACAACAGCAACGCTTTGAATGAGGATAAACAATATCTATAATATTTTAAGGATACACCCCTGCAATAACTGACAAGCAGAGAAAGCTATATTATGGCATAAGAAACAGAGGAAGGAGTGGGAATCAATAGCAAGAAGGATACCCATGGCACTTCCCCATCTCTCTACCAAGCTTGATGGAACAAAGTACACATTATTCTCCTCATCACTTCTATCTGATTTTGCAGAGTCATTGGCATGGAAAGAATAAGTTGATGAGTCCTCCCCCTTGCCAAAAGTTTTAAATACAAGAAAATCATCCACAGGTTGACAAGCTTGAAGCAGCTCATCCCAGTACTCTGCCGATTGCAGCTGTTCCTTTTCCATTGTGCTTTCAGTCTGTCCAAGTAAAGGGCCAGGGGTCCGAAGAAGCTGATTGTTAAATTCAGGGACTTCAAAGGATAAAGGTTTCCTTTTGGCCTGCAGTAAAGTATTTCCAGTCGATTCAAATTTGTGTTTTGCAAAATAAATAAATAAATGATCAATAACTCTTAGTCGATCGTATTATATACACAAGTATAGAACTTACTATGAAATACTTTTTGGTCGCCCCAATAAGCCACATTTGTGTTATACTAAACTCCCATGTCTAACTAGTCTTTAACAAAACTGATAAATATAGGTATTCCTTCTCAAAAAAAAAAAACTAGTCTTTAACAAATAATGACGACGAAAAGCCTTGATTATTTATTTTCCAACTCAAGCATGTCTTCTGCAATCTATAAGCCATTGTTCATAAAGTCACCTAAACGTTTTCAATACTAGATAGTTGTCTGTTGCCTGTGGTTCAAGGGACAGAACGTGTTCTATGAAAAATGGACTAACTTAAGGATAACTTGAAACAATTACAATTTTTTTAATAACCAAGAAATCCTTGAGGACAGCGGGTTCAAAACTCGGCGGATGATCGCCCCCTTCCCTCACCCTTCTCCATTTAAATATACACGCTTTTGTCTGCCACATAGTCCAACCACGCGATGTGCGCCTAACCCACACATTACACGTTACACTCTTACCGCTAGATCAAACCCCGCTCTAGGGAAACTCAAAACAATGAAACATTAGAACAGATTAAGTGCTTCAGAAAGGTCTGGCCTAAAATCAAAACAGTACTGCATTTTTACCAAAAAAATGTTTGTCAACTAAGTGGCCCAAGTTTTTATAATCGAAGTATCCAACTATAATCTAAAATGTAAGAACTTGTAATGACTGAAGCATATAAAAAAAAGGTAACTGAGGAAAGCCGTTAACAGAAAACCATAGCATACTGAATATAATTCGAAAGTTAAGAGGAACCATATTAGTTACTGGATGTTAAGCATTTGACTAAGAATTTTATCTTTGCTCGTCTATGCCAAATATGATCAATGCCTTTGACTTTCTATTCAAATACAGCAATCTTTGCTCCACACAACATGTTTACTTGAGCACAATTCATTTTAAATTGTGAAAGATGCAACTTACAAGTTTCAATATGTCAAATTTAGTAATTGAGAAGAATCAACAACAATCAGTAGGTAAAACTACCTATCCTTTTCCCATTTGTTGGGAAAAAAGAGAACTTTTATTTAAACATGTGGGTAAGCTTCATAAGCCAAAGAGGAAAACTGCCCAAGTTCTTCCAATTTCTTGAATTATTCTTTGTCTCCTCATTAATCTGTTTCCCACAGAAGACTTTGCTTTCTAAGAGGAAATTTCAGTCAGTTCCCATAATACACTTCAGTCACTTCTCATTAATCATAAAGTGTAATCCATCAATCAATTAACTATACCTCAATCAGAAACTAGTTGGGTTGGCTATATGAAATCCGTTGGTACTATTCCTCTCTATTCAGCTCATTCCATTTCAACACATTGATAAGTGTAATACATTCCCAAAATATTAACAACGTTACAGATGTACAACTCTTTGAAAAAATGAAACAAGGCCAGAACATGCAAAATGAATGAGAACATACATGTGATGACAATGTATACTAGTCCATATTAGATAAAAACCAAAGAGGAAGACATAGAGACATACCAAGCAATAATAACGAGGCCGAGAATATGGCAGTCCAAATTGCAGCGGACTCAAAATAAATTCTTGTGTAACAAAATTATTCTTTTCCAATATTTCGACCAATATCTCATGGGTATCAGAAGTCTGCAATAAAGGAAAAAGTATTACATATTCCAAGATGACCATCTTTGAAAAGTATAGCAGAAGATAGTCGGATAGACTTAGTAAAATATAGGTGGTAGAATGGAGCATCGATTGGAAAGATACAAACCTCAAATCCTACAACATTTTCCACAAAAAGATATGATGGAGGCTGCAATAGCTGTGGTATAAGTTCCAGAATTTTAATAAAAGATGATGCCCGTGCATCACTGGAACCTTTCTGGAGTCCTGACACAAAAATGTAACAAAAAGGTTTCAGTTAATATGGCAATAAGAAGAACACGAAAATAAAAGGGAAAATTGGGAACACAATTCATCACCTTGTCGAGTATATGGCTGACAAGGAGGAGAAAGTAACCAAGCATCAGCATTGTAGCGGTCAAGATCAGTGGCATTCAGAGTCTGAATGTTACCCTAAGGTCATCCAAAAATATAAACTTTACCAATATTATTTAATTGTCATAAAAACATCTGAAACTACCAATGGATGAACAAATTTTCAGTAACTTTCTCTTTTGATAAGTACACATTGTCAGCTACATTCCTATAAAATTCAACAGACTAAAATGCTCCTTCCAATTCAAATTGAATTTCACATTATTGTTTTTAACCCATGTGATAATAAAAGAGTGAACTTTTCATACGTAGTAATAGAGGACTCACTTTTACTTTTCTCTATAAACTTATTCTCTACTTACTATACATAAAATAAAAGATACCTAAAAAGCTTAAGCATGCCGCATGTTCCTTTAATAAATAGTGAATAATTAAAATCTTTTACTGCAAAGACAAACAAAATTATTAAACTGAGAACAAATGCCAATATTAGGAATGATGTAATGCACTTCGTAAGTTTCTAGTTTAAATAGAAGTTGTCTCGTTACCACAAAAAAAAAAAAAAAAAAAAAANCGTTACCACAAAAAAAAAGGAATTATGTGGTGAGTTTTCTCAAAAACCTGAAAGGGGCGGTGACCGAAATTGTGCTGGTAAACGTCATTAGCGACGTCGTTTATGTCGAAAGCTTCCACAACGGTGGCGTTGACGGCGGCTTTGAGCAAAGAATATCGCATGCCACCAATGCCACTGTAGAACTCCAGCACTCGCCATAGCTTTCTAGAACCTTCCAACTCCATCAACTTGCTGTTCCAACAATTTGAAAGGGATTCACAGAGTTCGCAAGTTGAAGCAGCTCGGTCGGATGAAGCTCTTTAATTATTAGAGTTGTTAACTCAAATGGTCCCTTAAGTTTGGGGAATGGTCTTTGTTGGTCCCTACTATAGTATATTGCTTAACATATATAATCCTTAAGTTTAGAAAATTAATACGCTTTCACCAACATGAGAGCCCCCTCTTAAGTGAAGAATATAATATGTCTACTTAAGATCGGAGATGAACGTCTTAGAAGGAAAGTAGTGCTAAAGCATTAATGCCCTCCTGGAGTTAATACTATTATCTTTCAATAATACTAGTTTTTAATATGTCTGCTCATTGACAAGCACCGCTTTGATACTCTAAGGTCGAGATAGTATTCGTCAATCAATTAATGTAGCTTGTGAGGTATAGAAAGAACTATCAAAATTTTAGCACGTCAATAAACTTCTTTGCTAGTTCATCGGCCATCCTGTTTTGATGCATGTGGTAATGTCTGAGATGAAGAGATAATAGGATTATAAGGTAATTATCCCTGGTTAAGCATTTCTATTACTTCCATCAACCAGTTTGTGACCTCAAGTGGTATGAGATTGTTTTCATACTACTGCGCTTCTCAACGCATAACGAGCTTAAGAGAATGCTTTCAATTCGACTGGCTAGTATTTTTTTTTCCACATTTTAATACCAATTTTTTTGAATTGCCAATGGCATTCACATTTATTTCCCCTACCTAGAACCCATCCTATTACTGAGCTAAGTTTGAAAAAACAACCCATCATGAGTTTGGACTCACCTATTAGTCACTTATTTCTAGAATTTTATTCTTTTTCATTAAGTGCGTGTTTAGTATAATTAAAATAATTTTTATAAAAATACAAAACTTATGTTTTAGTATGTGGGCAAATATAAAAGTGTGTGATACATGGTAATCGCACAAGGTTGAGGATAGAATATGTTGATAATATCATGATGATATTCTTAAATATTGAAACTAAACCATTATGTTTAAATATTGACTTAAAAAAAGTTATGTGTAGCCAAAGCAGTGATATTATAAAAGAAAATGATTTTTGCCAATTAGTGGGGGAGGTGATTTTATCACTACTCTTAAAATAAAAATTTACCTAGAACAAATATTTTTAACAACTAAGATAATTTCATCAAGAAAAGGTATTTTGACAAAATATTATTCTTCATGTCAAAACACATTCATGGCAGAGTTAAAGGACCAACTAAAAAATGCCAAGGAAATTAGGTGTGGGCAAAGTTTGGGCAAATCCGAAATCCAAACCGAAATCCGAATTTTTTAAATTTTCAGATTACGGGTTGGATTTTAGATTTAATTTTTAAAATTTTTGGATTTCGGATTGGATATTGGATTTGGTACTTCGGATTTTTGGATATCCGAAAATTCGAAATTTTTATACTTTATATTTAGTCCATTATCCATATGCCAGTAGTAATAAGTTCAATACCCTACCCATTAAATATTATCTAATATATTCAATATTAATTACTAAGTTACTATCATGATACTTTATATTTGGATATGATTTTACTATTGCTGCTTCTTATCGATCGTATTAATGTCTATGTTGTATTTTATTAATAATAATTTTATTACTTGAATACTTTATTTGAATAATTGCGTCAAAAATAAAAAACTTTTCAGGCAATTTAACATGAGTATTTTATTTGAATATTCATTTTTCTAAAAAATAAAAACATCTCAACTTATACCTCAAAACCGAAAATTCAGAATATGCAAACTGATTAATCTGAAATCGAACTTAAAAAATTCAATCCTATCTGAACTTATTTTAATTGGATTTGAATTATCCGAAATACGAAAATGCAAATCGAAATGTTCATATCCAATTCGAACCGACCAAACGACGGCGGAAATGTGTTCATGTTTGAGGACGAATAGTTGATGAATCTAAACGAGGGCTCAAAAGCAAATTCTATCAAAACATTAGCCAATGAGTCAATAACCCGAATTCTTTGTTTCCTGGGACGAATGAAAAAGACAGCAACTGCTGCTCTGGGGTTTAGGGTTACTGTGCTTTAGCTGACAAAAAACTAGCTAAAATGAAAACTTTAGTTCTCCCTTCTTCTTCCTCACAGATTCCACCATGGCTAATCCTCTTTTGCAGACGCCATCTTTGCACTTCTTCAATCTCATCGTCACTAATGAATCAACACCCACAAATTCCTGAACTTTCCCCCTCAGATTCTCTTGAAAAACCCATCTTAAACCCTCAAGATTCTGAAAAGCTTGTACCTTTACATGACATTGACCATTCTTGTGACAGACCCAATTCAGAAGATGGTGGGTTTACCAAGAATCATGTAGTTGATGTGCTTTTGAGCCACAGAGATGACCCTGATTCAGCTTATAGGTATTTCCAAACTGCTAGGCAACAAAGGGGTTTTTTGCATACTAAATCTGACCCTTTCTTTGTTTTGTTGCACATATTAGTAAGTTCTACAATGCATCAACATAAAGCTCGACGCTTGCTTGATAATTATGCTTTTAGTGACTCTGGTCCCTCTGCTACTGTTATTTTTAATGGTTTAGTTAATTCTTGTAAGGCTTTTGATTTCGAGTTAAATCCTCGTGTTTTTAATTTCTTGATAAATAGTTGTGTGAAAGTTAATGGATTGAATGATGCAATTGATTGTTTCAATGGGATGGTTGAACTTGATATAATGCCGTGGATCCCGATTATGAACAAGCTTTTGAAGGCATTGGTGAGGCAGGACATGATTGGAGTAGCGCGAGATTTGTATGCTGATGTAGTGTCTAGAGGAATCTGTTATGATTGTCGTACTGTGCATATTTTGATGGCTGCTTGTCTGAGAGAAATGAAAATGGAGGAGGCGGTACGGATTTTTAAGGAGGCTAAGATGAGTGGGATTAAGCTTGACGCGGGGTTGTATAGCCTTTGTGTTTATGTCGCTTGTAAGGAGCAGAATCTAAGTTTCGCGTTGGAGTTGTTGGGTGAGATGAAAGACAGGGGTTGGGTTCCTTCTGAGGGCACTTATGTGAACATAATTTCCACTTGCGTGAAGCAAAGGAATATGGTTGAGGCATTAAGGCTCAAGGATGAAATGCTTAGTAATGGGCATCCGATGAACTTGGTGGTTGCAACATGTTTGATGAAAGGGTATCATGTGCAGGGAAATTTATCGAGTGCGTTGGATTTGTTCGACAAACTGGCCTTGTATGGACTCACTCCGAGCCAGGTAACATATGCAGTTTTAATAGAAGGCTGCTGTAAAAATGGGAATATTGAAAAAGCAGTAGAAATTTACAGGCAAATGAAACTTGCAGGTATCAAGCCTAATGTTTATGTTGAGAATTCCTTAATAAAGGGTTTTTTGAGTGTTAACTTGTTAGATGAAGCAATGAATGTATTTGATGAGGCAATAAATTCGGGGACGGCCAATGTTTTCGTTTACAATAATATAATAGCCTGGTTTTGTAAGAAGGGTCAAATGGACGAGGCTCAAAACGTATGGGATAAGATGGTCGATAATGGAGTCGTACCTTCTATAGCTTCGTTCAACAATATGATTCTTGGAAATTGCAGAAATGGGAATATGGACAAAGCATTGGATTTGTTCTCTAAGTTGCCAGAAAGGCTGTTGAAACCTAATGTTGTAACATATAGCATTTTGATTGACGGATATTTCAGAAAAGGCGACGTTGATAAAGCGGGGAACATGTTTGATCAAATGGTCTCTTCAGGAATTGCCCCTACTGACTACACATTCAATACCATAATAAGTGGTCTATCTAAAGCCGGCAAATTGTCAGAGGCAAAAGATTTGCTTAAAAAAATTGTTGCAGGAGGTCTCCTTCCAACATGCATGTCTTACAATAGCCTAATAGATGGATTTTTGAAGGAAGATGATGTCACTTCAGCATTGGCTGTTTACAGAGAGTTGTGCGATAGTGGGATTTCCCCAGATGTTGTAACTTACACAACTTTAATTGATGGGTTCTGCAAAAGCAATAACATTGATCTTGCTTTAAAAATGCTGAATGAGATGAGAAATAGAGAAATTAAGTTAGATGTTATTGCGTATGCTGTCCTTATAGATGGCTTTTGCAAAAGAAGAGACATGAAAAGTGCGTCTGAACTTTTTGATGAAATCCTTCAAGTTGGTCTCTCTCCTAACCTATTTGTGTATAACAGCATGATAAGTGGGTTTAGAAATGTAAATAATATGGAAGCAGCACTAGTCTTGCGTGATAGGATGATCAGTGAAGGCGTTACATGTGATTTGGAAACATACACCACTTTGATTGATGGGCTTTTAAAGGACGGAAAAATAGTTATGGCGTCCGATTTGTTCACCGAGATGCTTGGAAAGGGTATAATGCCTGATGACATCACATATACTGTTCTTGTACACGGTCTTTGCAATAAAGGTCAGGTTGAGAATGCGCACAAGGTCTTAGAGGAGATGTGTAAAAAGAGTACGACTCCTAATGTTCTGATTTATAATACACTAATTGCTGGATACTTCAAGGAGGGAAATTTGCAAGAGGCATTTAGGTTGCATGATGAGATGCTTGACAAAGGTCTTAAGCCCGACGATGCAACCTATGATATTCTTGTAAGTGGATCATTCAGAGGAAACAGTTTCGCTCTTGGTACTTCATTGCCGCAATGAACCAGATACCCTCTAGCATGCCTGTTTTAAATTCTTGAAGAGATATATTGTCCCTTGGATTTCATTCTTGTCACATGTCTCTGCTGTCTGCAAGGTAAACTGAACTTGCTAACTAGTTTTTACAGTGAAACGAGTTAGATACCGATGAATTTTGGGTTCACTATGACCATTCATTTCTATATGTATAATCTCTTAGGTTGACAGCTTTAATGGTTGGGTTCCAATGAACTGCTTTCGCGTCACCGCTTGAGTCCCTCAAGTCCCTCGAAGGTATGTATTCTAGTTCATCTTTCTAAGATTGTCACCTTTTGCATTCATAAAAGAGAGGGTGGGGTTGGGGGGAAATCAAAAGAGAAACAGAATTTTCCGCTGATTCATAATTTCATTGAATGGTTTTATCTGATTTGGATATGAACTTGGGTCTTCTAAAATCTTGAAATTGAACCGACGAGTTCAAGCTGTCTGGTAAATGTGGTCAATAAGTAAACAACTGGATCTTTGTTTTTTCTTTGGTAAATTTTAATAGTTTAATTTGGAGATACTCGAGGTGTGCTAGTGCTGCATCGTCTTATTTGGACCTTTTTTGATAGGTAAGCTTATTTTTATTAACAAAAAAGCACTATTACTGAGTGCTGGATATTCACAGAGGAGATTGCAGCAAAAAACTCAGCTCCCTATTTATTCAGCTGAGGAGCTGCGGAAATTAATAAGCTATCTACCCATTTACTATCTGCATCTTACACCAAAAATCCGGAAAAAGAAAGTCATTTTACTTTTAAGCTATGAATATTCTCTCATCTGCTTGCGGAAAATCTCAATTCTCTTTCTTTCCCAAATGATTGACTATAAATAGGGTGGGTTAGTGTCCCAAATCTTCCTTCTGTTTTTACCTATAACTTTCCTTGTCCAGCTATGCAGCTGTTCCTGCTGTTTTAGGCATTGCTCATCTTACTCCAAATATATTCAGGAAGCGGTACCAACAGTTCTGAGACCACTTTGCTGTTTAGGAACAGGTGATTGCTATCTTAAGCCACCATTCTACTGAGGTATGATTACCCTCCTTTATAATTCACCAAGCCAGGGCTGCCTCATAAGATACCACCCGACAGAAGCGAACCCCTTAATATATAGCCTTGTTCCTCTAGATTCCCTTCCAAGGCCGTTGGCGGTGTTGGTCGGCAGTAGGTAGCAGGTTTTTACACTGAATTCTTCATTCGTAGGGACAGATGAATACCTGAAGTTTTAGGGCTTGTCTGATCTTGTTCCGACTTCCGAAACTGAAAATTTTATTGTGTTAGACAACTCTTTCTTATGCTAAAAGAAGTGTAATGATTGAGGACCTTCCACAATTTGCTGGTTCCTTTGACACCAGGCGACTTTGTTGTTCCTCCCTCCCTCCCTCCCTCTCCCTCTCCCTCTCCCT